AAAGTGGCATTGTATGAAACCTGGTTGGTTCAAAAGTATGTTATTTGAATAGCTGAATGCTTGGCTTGAAAAGTGGAAAGGAACTGGTAATATGTCCCTATTTGTTCATATATTTGTTATATATATGAAAAAGTTATTTTGTACAAAGTTTTGGTGATTCTCATCCTGCAAATACATAAATAGGGTAACTCACTAGACCTTTCGGTCTAACCCTCGTTTTGTGATTTTAAATATGTATTGCAGGAAGTGCTGAATGTAAGGGGAAAGGGAAAATATAATAATTTCCCTATATGTTTACCTGTATGAGGATTGGATGATGATATGTATAGTTTTGACAGATGATCATTGACTAGTACAAGAATTTGTATTTTGAATTTTTAAACCATGTATTTCATACTAGTAGATTCTTGTACTAAGGTACCTGAATGATGTAAATACATGTATTTCCTGTATGAAGTATATGTTACATGTAATGTGTGGTATGGGGTGTTATAGAAAGTGGTATCAGAGCCTGAGTTTAAGGGATTTAAGTATTCAACAGCATGATACCTAGACTTAAACTATTTTATTGCATGTTAAGGGTCCTAGACATAGTTAGCACCATTGGAAATAAATATGATGGGTTGAAAGAATAATGTGTAAGGTAAATTTTAATTACATCTAGCCAGTGTAATTATGAATTTACAGGTACACATCTGAACTTAAATACTTCATTATATTTGGGAATGTGAATACGTGATCATTAACACTAAAATATGCAGATGTCTAGCCGAACTAGAAGATCTGAAAGAACGGCTCGTCCAGAGTCTGAAGAAAGGGAAGAGTCACCTGTTAATCTCCCGACGGGCACATCTGGAATCAGAGGTCGGGGAAGACCAAGGGGACGAGGTAGAGGAAGAAGTCAGTCTCAAGGAAGGGGTCGTACTGAAATTCATTTTGAACCTGAGGAATCCCATTTTGGGAATGTTCAGGAGAGATCGGTGCCACACCCTGAATATGTAACTAGAGACATGTTGGCTGAAGAAATGGGGAAGTTACGGGAAACTCTAACCTCTATCATGGGAGTACCAGCCAGGGTAGAAACAGAAAGAATAGAAGTTCGTCCCTCGATACCAGTTACTCAC